TATTTGGGGCTGGTGGAGGAGAGGGATTTTTCAGTGAACAGGTAAATGTGTAACAAATAGTTACTATCTCACAGAGTTTTCTTCAGAATCTAAAATGCATCAGCATATTTCTCATTCATTGTTTATCCTAGTGAGAAAAAGAATTTGGGAAACAAAGTGGGTTATTTTGAGCCCAATCCTTGGCAACGAATTCAGCCATCAGCAAGTAAAAGGAAATTGCCGAACAGCAGGAATGAACACATCGGCGAACTAAACCCCCGGTCACTGACTCATCAGTCTAGTATGACTCAGTATTATGATACGGAAGAAAAATCCTTTCAGCTTGTAATCAACAGAGTGGTTATGTAGAGGCTAACGAAGAAGCAGAGTAACACCCAAGTACTTCGCATGACTGATTCTGCCGATAGATTCACCTTGAATCTGTTTATTTTCAAATATAGGTGGCAAATGGCTCAAAATAAAGACACCTGAAGTGTTTATTACAGTTATGAATAAGATTGGATGATGTATGACACATCTGACTTACAAAATGCAAAAATTCCACAATTCCCTTTTTAGTTATTTTTCTCTTCTCCCCTTGATTCGTCACGTTATGCCGGTTCATGACGTCAAGCCCATATCTGTATTTTCTCTCTCTCCTCCCCGAATCTTTTTCTGATGCAGGCAAATCTCGGGCCCGTTGGATTGCACGTCCGTGCACCGTATTTCATGCACCGATACAACCATCTGCTCGCTCTCAGTCGCCCGGTTCCTGCCGGATTGGATCCTCTGTCATCCCTCTCTAGTCGTATCCCTTACGGCATACCTCAGTCAATTTGTGTGCCTGATTTTTCACGTGATATTGAATTGATCTCTCTGGCCACGCGAATCGCTGACTCGGGTAAACTGGTCGCACTGGATGCTTTGCTGAACGAATTAAAACCAGCCGGTCATCGAGTGCTGATCTACTCTCAGATGACTCGAATGATCGATATTTTGGAGGTATTTCTTTGCGAATTTTGACTGACCTTTGGAAAAAACACGTTTTTGTATAAAATTTCACAATAATGTTGCTTTCGGCGATAGAAGCGAGATACCTTTTAATTATTGTACTCACTCATTCGTCATTGGTGGACCTAATGGTGAGCTGAAAAATAGCATCCAAAACCGACACAGTAATATGTGTAAGAGTGAGTGGTAGTGTGAGCTGAACTTCAATCAAGGCGTCCAAATCGGACGAGTGATCAGTGGTTCGCTTTTAGGTTCTGCGTATTCGGGAAAGTTATCCAAGACGTATATCTTTCCTCAAAACGTTGCCCTTTCGTTGCACCTCTCCCAGTTCAAGAAGGACAATCCATCTGATCCGGTATGTATTAGCTCTGAACCGGTATCCCACCTAAGGTGGATGTTTTATGGATGATATTATTCATTGAACTTCTCACATTCAACATATTGTCACTAAACGTTCTCTTTTTACCCGTAAACTTTGTAAGTTTTGAATTCAGTAGTCGCATGGTTTATATCTAATCTGTGTGAACGTCATTTGAAAGCATGTGAAAAGTTTGCACGCAAGATTCTTATGGATTCCACTCATCCACTGCACAGGGATTTAATTTCCTGTCGTCAACTATACCTTTTTCAGTTTAAAATGTCCAAAATCCAATTTAAGATGCCCAAGTGTCAATTTAATATGTCATGTTGCTATGTTTTCACTCTGTACTGTGTAAGGTACTATCCACATAACAACATGACCTCTTAAATTGATACTCGGACATCTTAAATTCATATTGTGACATCTTGAATTGAATTTCGAACATCTTAAACTGAAAAAGGTATAGATCCCAATACTGCTGTGTTCCCTCTCGAATAAATATATATTGTAACTCTACGGCCTGTATTCTGGTTAACAAGTTTCGGGACTTAAATTTTCTTTCTTTTTCCTTCTCTGCTGTGTACTTTTTTTAATGAAATGTAGGTTGTAATTACAGTCACCATCAGGAATGTCTGTTTGGTTCTCCGATCCATTTGATGGAACATGGTGCTGTTCCCCGTCTACGGTTTCCCCAGTGCTTACTTGAAATCTCGGATATTCTCGAACCGTTGCGCAGTTAAAATATCTTAGCCAAGCTGTTAACACCAAGTCAGTGACAAAGACAAACGAACAAAATGTTAAAGTACCCACCAAGTATTTGTCTTCTTTATAGGCTGAACTACTACCAGTTTCTACTCTCTCACGTCGTAAATCGAGTGCTTGGGACAGCGTCGGTTCTCTGTGCTCTCACCTGTCCCCATCAGTTCCCGATGGTTGCAGTTTGTCAAAGCGATTGTGATTCAAAGTTGAAAATTATTCTATACAAATTAAAACACCTAGGGTTATCTCTCCCCTGAGTTTTATCCTGGTCAAACCATGACAATTGTGAACCTATTGCCAGTAATTTCAATTATTTTTTTGTGAGGTGCAGCAAAGTGTATCCGGATATTGTGTGACAAAACTGCTCTGTATTCTCTCTTCACGCTGTCAGTTACATCACTCATGCACATTTTCCCTGTTTAGTACTGTTCCATTAGATGTGCCCCGTGCAGCAATCGTCTTTCATTTAATCATACTTGTCTTTTCATCTGCAACTCGCATTTCAGGAATTCATGATCTACAGAAATCACGCCTATTTGCGCTTAGATGGCTCTTCTCGACTGTCTGATAGACGAGACATGGTTGCCCAGTGGCAAACCAATCCGCGTTGGTTTGTCTTTCTTCTTTCTACTCGGGCTGGTGGACTGGGAATCAATCTGACCGCTGCGGACACTGTGATTTTCTATGATTCCGATTGGAATCCAACAGTAGATCAACAAGCCATGGATCGGGCACATCGATTGGGACAAACCAAACCGGTATGCTAATTTTTTTCTCTCTCTCTCTCTCCCTCTTGGCTCGTCCACCCACCTCATCGTCATCC